TATTAAACAATGAAATGAAATGATCTACTGTGAATAAAAATCAAGCAACAACCCCCGCTGGATGAAATCTTTCAAACGTGCAACATTTGATAACAGCAAGTAAATGAATTATTTCTATTCACAACAGGTGATGAAAACATTAATCAGAGTCAACTGTGTATAAATCATTGAAGCAGCCATAAAGCAATATAAGATGCCATGAAATCATGAAACCTACGGACGTCCATCACTAATTAGACTCATGACAACGATTTATCAAACTCAAACAAAAAGTGACTTCTCTTGTAATGCCTTTTCTGTAATTGAATCTGTCTGGTTTGGCCACAATCTTTAATGGGTGCAGTTTTGTATGAACTGATGTGATTGGCAGGAAAGACATTTCAAAATCCTCTTTCTGGGTCTGTGACCCAGGATCAGTCAATACCAAAGATCAGCACAGATTAATCACAGGATGAAGGGTATTTAATATAAAGAGGTATATTGAGAGGTTTTGAGGCTTAACAGGTAAATGATGTTCGACCTTGTGTCAGTTCTGAAAGACTCGGCCTTGTCAGACATGTAGCTTGGAATCCACTGAAAACTACTGGAGTAGTTCTGTATCATTCAATGTTTTTGATTAAAGAATCTAAAGTCTTTCAAACCATGTAAAAAAACACATGACTTATTCATGAATGCGTTATCTGCTTCATCAGGGCTTTGTTGGTGTTTTTGTTAATCAAATGTGACTGACAGTTCCAAATAACCCTCCACCTGTTCTTAATGATTCAGATATTATGAATTCCTGTTTGGTGGCAAGATGTGAATGACATCACCTTTCTCTTGCTAAATCCTAGTGATCATGTTGGGCCCTGTTGTTCATAAGAACCAGATTGATAAACATAAGTCAGTACTGCAGAAATCAGCAGATTATTAACTTGTCTGTCAAACAGAGTGATGTTATTTTAGAGCATCAAAATGTTTTTTAAATGAATTTGTTTGTGTCCTGTTTCATACCGACGGACAGGGTTGGTTTCTTTTAACCATAACCACAAATCGTGCTGTGATCTTATATGTGGATATTATGGTAACCATGACATGTCATGTTGGTAAGATAAATGCATTTGTGCAACACTAACTAAAACAGTAATGGACGAAATTTGTTTACTTGGCTAATTTTTCATACTGCTGAGATTTCCTGTTACAAATCAAGCCGATCAGAGAGAAAGAAAAAAAAGAAAAATAATAATAATCTGTTTATTGGGTTTATAATGAATTACAGTGATACCCCCAACATGTTCAGTGAATTTATACAAGACAAAGTAGTTTTGATTACAGCAGGGGTTTTATTAAACAATGAAATGAAATTATCTACTGTGAATAAAAATCAAGCAACAACCCCCGCTGGATGAAATCTTTCAAACGTGCAACATTTGATAAGGGTCTAAAGTCATAGATGTTTCCAGAGTTAGCATAATCATGATCATGTTGTTTTACCAGTCTGCTTAAACATGTATATTAAGTGATTTAGTGTTCTTAGTGCAAAATGTAGAAACTATTTAAAACTGCAGTTTTTGGAATAGTAGTTGCTATGTTTGATTTCTCCCTGCTGTTGTAAACATAGACAAAAAAACAAAACTTTCATTGAAAAGTCTTCAGTGGGTGAACCTGTAAAGCATATTTTTGTAGATACGTAATTATTTTAATCACTTCTAAAACAAAAAAGAGTGATTGAGAAACACAAGACTAATTTACATACTTATCTGGATTCTCAAATTGACAATTGATTAAAATATCTTTTTTATTTGGAAATTGAATAAAAGTAAAAAAAAAAATTCAACATCCAACACAGGGAAATAATGATAGTACGGTATGAGAGGTGAAACCAGATATGACATCGACAATTAAAAATAGTGAATTTGAATATATCTGATGATTTCGAAATATTAACACCTTACAAAATCATCCCTTTAAGGTTTTTAATCCCAGAAAGAGTTGCCCGGTTCTGTGAGGGGATCTAAATCTCTGCTGCCATGGTAACGATGGTGAAGGTACTCTCATTAACCTCAGACAAAATGATTATATTTCAAGGCTAAGTTGTGAGAGTTGTGAGTGCATGTTATTACACAGTGTCCATGTTTTCTTTATTTCCGTCACAGTTGCTGAAGTTTTGATGCAGAATCTGCCCGGTAACAACAACCATGCATGGTTACTGGTGCTGGGAGAGATGTCAAGCTCTGACTTGGTCCAATGTGCTTTCCCCCTGAAGCCATAGCAGTGTTGTGTAATGTACTAAATTGTGGTTATTTAACAGACCTCTGGGCTTTATAAATAGCTTTTGGTTTTCAGTCAGTATAGATAAAGACCTTCTATTCATCAAATTACGTCCTCATAAAGCATCAGCTATTTTGGACTGTCAATAGTGTGTTGTGTGCCAGTTTATAGTTTTCAGGAGGTTGCCTGAAGTAGCAGTTTACATTTTGAGCTGATTTTCAACCAGTTTTCAAACAAGTTAGTTCAAATCTCATCTTTTCTCCTCAATGTTCGCTGCTCTCAGAGGTTTCACAGAATTGGGATGACATCAATCACAGTGACTTCCAAATCACTTTTCCCCCAATGCAAATCTGGCATTTACATGACACAGAATAAAGAGAATCTTGTGGTATGGAATCCTTTAGTAAACTTGATGTGCCCCTACCACTTGAACAATGTGTGTCATTCTGCAAAGACAAAGCCAGGGTCTCCATCAGTCAGAGGTAATTACACAATTGAATTAATGAAAACTGCATTCGCGCTGTCAGCACTCTCAGTCAGAGCAGTGAAAAATAGAGCTTTTCTATATCAAAGAATGCAGGAGCTTTAAACAACACTTAACATGGCTCAAGACAAATTAGTCATGTGATCAGTGACCTTAGGAACCATTTTTTAAGTATAGCTGTGTCCAAATGTATCTGGGGCCTTCGTGGACTGTGCAGGGTGTGGCTGCTCTGACCTGCTAATATTACGCACACCCACCACTCACACAGACAGCGTGACCTGGGTGTTAGTTTAATGAGATAGTTTGGCCTAGTCGCAGCACTTTGACACAATCAGTCTTCAAAAGCATCCCCTTGAACTGGGACACTTATGAGGCAATATTTGTAGATTTTATCAGTTGTTTCGCTGTTAATTGTTGAATTGTTGTATTGGTTTTTATATGCAAATAAGCTCTACAGCTACATCTGGCCCAGTAGTTGTGTTGTGCATGGCCCGTGGTTAATAAACTAATAAATTGAGACAAATGTTGTGTCAGTATACCTCTCTGTTGGTTAGACAAAGATCTATAGGATCTCTGGAATTTCAGCAGCTCAAAAACAATTTCTGAAGGTACGAGATTCTTTCACAGGTCTTTAAATGTAACAGCTGCCTCTTTAAGCTTTCATGCATCATCCAGCTCACAGAAAGAGCTGCTGATGTTTAGGCTTTGTTCTCCCCCGCTGGACACTCCTGTGTATCAGGCAGAGACCTGTGTGTGTCCCTCATGTTTGTGGCTATCACAGGTGTGACAGCGTGTGTCCTGGAGTGTTTAGCAGATGCACCAGCAGCAAACGCATGACAGGCAGGTTGGGAGGTGAGTTTGGATATGATACACACTTATGCACTTAGCTGTGACAGACCTGGTTCATCTGTCCTTTTGTCCTTTACGCCCATCCCTTGATTGTGTGTCAACTACAAGTGAAGAAGTAATACATTACCTTGTAATACGTGTTAATAATGTGGTGATTTACTGAAGTAATTATTTTACAGCTGCTAAGCCTGGTAACAGTTCTTTACTTTGACTTTGATTTGTTTGTTTCAAATTTTTTTCTTTTTCTTCGGCTTTTCTGTCACTAAAATTGTTTTCGGTGATTTTCTTAATATCTCCTGCTGTGTTCTCACATGGGTTTATTCGGACAAGAAGAATGTCTACAGAAACTGACACAGACAGGAGATTATCTGTCTGAGTTCAGAACATGTCTGAAAGCACCTTTATTGCCAAAAAGTCTCCTGTATTAACTTGTTCACCTTTTGTCTGTGTCCAAAGTAACAAAATCCACCTTCTTGCTCTTCTAGATCCTCTAGTCTGAGGTTCACTAAATTACGTCTTCCATGTGGAAGTTAAATCAGCCATGCAGGCAAGAAACAGTCCAACACAACACCACCAGAAAAACCTAAATTTAGCATCTTCACACCTTGGCTTTTTGAGCTTTAGAAGGGACACTGTTGTACTGTTGGGTTTAGAATAGAATAGAATAGAATGCCTTTAATGTCATCACACAACGAAGCATGGCAAAATTACAGCAGCCACCACTGAGAGGTGCATTTTGTAAAAAAAGAAATAAAATAAGCATGTTCACAGGACGTTCAAAACTACACAAAATAGTGCAAAGAGAGGTGCAAGAGGAGGAAGTTGTGGTTGATTGTAGTGCAAAGTAGGTAGTTATGAAATTACAAGGTTACAAAGTTACAAAGTAGGTAGTTACGGTTGGAATGTATAGGAGTTATAGAGCCAGGCTAGTTGTATTTGCCTGTCTCTACTTATATAAAGCTAAGCTAAGCGACTGTTGGCTGCAGCTACTCATTTACAGTCTGAATGTGAGAGTACTGATCTGCTCACCTAACTCTCCAGACAGTGAATAAGCATTTTTCCCAACCATCAAACAAATCTTAAATCTAGGCTCGGTAAGACTGTAAAAGTTCACACGAGCTGCAACTGACCTGCCCCTCATGAAAAAGCTACGCCCCCAAACCACATGAACGATATTCTTCTTATGATTTTATTCTGTCTTTTTATAAACTGGGTCTGTTTGCCATATGTTGCTGCTTCTCCTCAGATGCATAAACCTGCAGTAAGTTCATTCATTTGGTTGTGTAAGTCGTGTTTGTGTGCATACGTGTTGGCAGAGGAATGAGGTGTTGTGTGTTTCCATAGGAGTGAGAGGGTGTGTATGGGAGCCATGCGAGGCTGAAGGACAACATATAGCGAGCAGGATATCTGTGGTACAAGAAAAGCATTTTTATGGAGGAGTCCGGGGAGCACACGGCTGAAGATTTAGGGTCTGGCTCTTGGCATTCTCCACGGGACACTGAGAATGGTATGTACTGCACTGGCCAGGCCGTCTTCCCATGTGTTCCCCTCTGTATCCCTCTCTTCCTCTCTTTTCAGTGTTCACACGCGCATCTTTTTTCCAGACAATCATCTGGACACTGCTGGGTTCATCCGCATCTTCCCGCTGGACACTTGCCTTTGCACGCAGCGTTGCTATCATTTTATCTCATCACACAAAAGAAAGCAAGCTGTTCTGAATGTTGCAATCAGCTCCATTCTGCCACTTGGACCATCTGCCAGTGGCTCAGCAGCACCCAGAGTTCGCTCCAAGCCAGATGTCATCTAAGAGGAAATGGTGATGTTTTGAGCATGATATTTTCATCAGTGCTGGGAGCCAAACTCACTGCAAATTAGAAATCCATGGAGCAAAGAGTTGATTCTCATGCATTTTTTTTTCTCGTGGTGAAGGGTGCAAACACCACAGGTCACTGAGTTCTTTAGTGCAGTGATGAAGTAAGGCTGTCTAATGCGCATTAGACATGTGCCTCCTCACCTCTGACAAACCAGAGTCACTCCAGAGTGTGTGGGGAGTTTCAAAGTAGAAGAATAGGGAGTGGACAAGGAGAATCTCTGATGAGAGGAAGAAAGAAAAAGAGAGAAATGAAAGGGGAAAAAAAGATGACTCGCTGAGTTTGTGAAGCGTAACGTCTGCTGAAGGTGCAGATTCTGGGTCACCTCCATCACCCACCTCAGTTAATCATAACACACGACGTTGCACGCTTGCATGCACACACACACAAACACACCCGCACTTGTGATCATCGCCACCTGATTTGCCTCGACTACTGTCACCGAAGAGGAAAACAAGCTGAAAATGTAAATATGACTTCAGAGCTGAAGGTCATTTGATCCAAACAACAGAACATTTCCTATTTCTTGTTGTAAATACAAATGCAGATGTACATTTTTTACATTTCTGCTGTTACCCCATCAAAATTGGGATTAGTGAAATTGTGTGTGTCCAAAGTTAATCAGATAATCTGTACTGTAGTTTTCATGGGGATTTTATTTGGTAGAAAAAACTTGAATTAATAAAAACTGGTGTATTGCACTATTTCACCATGAAAATGTGTGTTGGAACATTCACTGCCGTGTAATGTTTCAGTACTTTGAGAGGCACATACACATTTTCAAAGCCAGGTCTAACTTCCCCTGATCAAGTCTAATTAAAAACATGACCATCTACTATTAGGCCACCATCTCTTGAATCCAATTATCTGATCTAAATTTATGAATTAATAATAAACAAATAAACTAACATATATTACATTTCTAAGTATATCAATATATCATATATAATATACATACAAAGCCATGGAAAACACTAAAGGTAATTTGCATCTATACTTCAAGACATAAGTATTTTTTGTCATTTAGGTGAACTGACCTTTTTAAATTGGAATCATTTCCTTGCCCTTTAAATGGGCCAAAAGAAGGAAAGAAATAGAAATAATGCGGATGAAAAGTCATGCAGAGAGATGATATTGGAGCTTATGAGTAGTAATCTGTCAAGCAGAAGCAACATAATTACAGCTGTGTTCAGCTCCATTACAGTCAGTGCACTTCTGCCTCTGTTACCACCTACATACTCTCCATACTCTGCCTAATTGCCCGTGCCTCATCACATAGAGAAGGCTTATCGAGTTAAAC